GACCTTCTCATCTTTGTTTCGCTTTGTTGACCATTTGGTTTCATGTAGAAGATTTTTTTTTTTTTTTAAAGGATCATTGTACTCATGGGTGATATTTTTTATTTTATGAGCCAATCTGTTCTTTTAACTGAAAGATAACCTCTGGGAGTAGCTTCAGTTCAGAGTTTAAAGGGTATTTCAGGGTAGTAGTATTGGGGATTCCTCTAGTCTCTACCAGTCCAGTAAGTCTGGCCCTTTTTTAAAATTTAAATTTTGTTCTACAATTTTCTCCTGTTTTATCTGGGACCATCTATTGTGTTCCAGGTCAGAATGGCTGGTAGTAGCTAGGCACCATCTAATTCTTCTGGTCTGAGAATAGATGAGGCCATGGTTCATGCAGGCAGTTAATCCTGTAGACAAGTTGCTTCTCTGAGTCTTCGGTTTCCTTCTTTTTCTTTCGCTCCAAACAAGTAGAAACCAATAGTTATAGAGCTTAGTTTTTGTAACTGGTGTAAATACATACTCTTCCTTCCCCTACATTTTCCCCTTTTTCTTTCTTCCTTCCTTTTTGGTTTTATTAATATTAAACAGAAAATAACAGTCACCTGTGGCATTTCACCCCATTTCTCATTTCTCACATACCAGAGGCAGCTTCTTAAAACTCTTATAGCTGCTTCTTTCAATGTGTTTAGTTCTACCCCTCTAAATAGTAAGCTTGTGCTGGCATTTCTACTTGATTTTTCACTGTTAGGTATTTTTGATTGAGCTCTAACTATGGAAGGTTAGTAGCTAGTTCTTTCATCTCCCCCTCCCTACCACATACCTGGACATTTTCTGTCTCCCACCTACTATATAATTATGTCATGATTCTGTTTAGATCAATAATCATGATTACATTACTATGATTATATAAACACTATTCCTGACTAAGCCATGTAGTAAATGATTTTTTAGAGTTTCTGATATTTCTTATTTGTTCAGTTTTGTATTATTAGTTCTATATATTAATGCTAATTTATTCTCAAACTGTCCCCCATTTATCAACATCTCTTTTTAACATGTTTAAAACACATTAGGTATTCTATTAATTTTATCTTCTTGGTGCTCTCCTGGAGCTCTTTTTTCTTACAGTAAAATTCACATAAAATTAATCATTTTCAAGAATACAATTCAGCAGCATTTAGTATATTCACAATGTTGTGCAATCACCACCTCTATCTAGTTTCAAAACATTTTCATCACCCCAAAGGAAAATCCTGTACCCAGTAAGCAGTCACTCCCCATTCCTTCTTCCTTCCAGCCCCTGGCGACCAGTAATCTGCTTTCTGTCGCTATGGATTTACCTATTCTGTATGTTTCATAGAAATGGAACCGTACAATATGTGACCTTTTGTGTCTGGTTCCTTTCACTTAGCATAATATTTTTGAGGCTCATCCAAGTTGTAGCATGTATCAATACTTCATTCCTTTTTATTATTCAATAATATTCCATTGTATGGTTATGCCACATTTTGTTTATCTATTTATCAAGCTGATGGATTTGTTTGTTGTTTGGGATGTTTCTGCATTTTGGCTATTGTGAATAGTGCTGTTATGAACATTTGTATACATGTATTTGTTATAATACTTGTTTTAAATTCTTTTGGGTATATACCTAGGAGCGGAATTGTTGGGTCACATTTACTTCTATGTTTAAATTTTTTTTTTTTATGTCGAATGGTTTAGTTTTTGATACAATAAAGAGGTATGAACACATTATGCTGCATAACCTAATTTGTCTAGCTCCTATGGGGAAAGTGACATTTACATAAGTGAATGTTCTACATAAAATTGAAGTGGGTCCCTTGATTTAATCTAAATTATAAAATACTGACATCATATAGTTCCTTAGCTGCTGCTTTTTTTTTTTCTCTTATTCAGAAATTTATATACAAATTGTTTTGTGACATTCGTTGCAATCCCGACAATGTGTCAGCACTCTCCCCCTTTCCGCTTACACCCCTGATTCTCCATGTCCATTCCTGTTCCTTCCTGCCTTCTTGTTTTTGCTTTTGGGCAGGTGTTGCCCATTTGGTCCTGTATGCTTGATTGAACTAAGAAGCACGTTCCTCATGTGTGTAATTGTGTGTTTTATAGACCTGTCTAATCTTTGGCTGAAAGTGAGTGGAGTGGCTTTGGTTCTGAGTTAACAGAGTGTCTGGGGGCCGTAGTCTCAGGGGTTACACCGCTCTGTGTCAGACCAGTAAGTCTGGCCTTTTTTTTGTGAATTTGAATTTTGTTCTACATTTTTCTCTCGTTCTGTTTGGAACCATCTATTGTGATCCTTGTCAGAGCGGTTGGTGGTGGTAGCCGGGCACCATCTAGTTTTTCTGGGCTCAGGCTGGTGGAGGCTGTGGTTTATGTGGTCCATTAGTGCTTTGGACTGATATTTTCCTTGTGTCTTTGGTTTTCTTCGTTCTCCTTTGCTTTGAACGTGGTGGGACCAATAGATGTATTTTAGATGGCTGCTCGCAAGCTTTTAAGACCCCAGACGCTACTCACCAAAGTAGGATGTAGAACATTTTCTTTATGAACTGTTATGCCAATTGACCTAGGTGTCCCCTGAGACCATGGTCCCCAGCCCTCAGCCCCAGTAACTTAGTCCCTCAAGGTGTTTGGATGTGGCTACGAAACTTCTATGACTTTGCCTCAAGTTGTGCTGACTTCCCCTATATTGTGTTGTCTTTCCTTTCACCAGAGTTAACACTTGTCTGCTATCTAGTTAGTGATTTCCTCCCCCACCCTCATAATCATCAAAGATTGTTTTTTCTGTGTGTAAACCTCTTCTTGAATTTTTATAATAGTGATCTCATACAATGTTTGTCTTTTTGTGATTGACTTATTTCATTCAGCATAACGCCCTGCAGATTCATCCATGTTCTGAGATATTTCGTGGATTCATCATTGTTCTTTATCATTGCATAGTATTCCATAGTGTGTTTGTACCATAGTTTGTTTATCTGTTCATCTGTTGATGGGCACTTAGGTTGTTTCCATCTTTTTGCTGTTATGAATAATGCTGCAGTGAACATGGGCGTGCATGTCTGTTCATGTGACAGCTGTTGTTTCTCTAGGATGTATTCCTAGGAATGCCATTGCTGGACCACATAGTGTTTCTATTTCTAGCTTTTTTAATTTTTAATTTATTATTGAATTTTGTTTTTGTTGCACAGAATTGAACAAATGCCTTTCCTACACAGATAAGTAAGCTACAAAGGATGAGTAGATTCTGAATAGCTCCTTATGAGGCCTCAGCATACTTATTTTTCAGCAAAACTAGTTCAAACATTATAAAGCTGAATTGCTATTAATATTTGATTATTCCACATTCCTTAGTACAAGTTTAAATGTCCAAGTCAGATCAGGAGCCCTAAAACTTGCAGTCAGTTCTGAAATTGCCTACATTGCATTTTTTTTTCAATTGTACTTTAGATGAAGGTTTACAGAACAAATAGTTTCTCATGAAACAGTTAGTATACGTATTGTTTTATGACATTGGTTAACAACCCCATGACATGTCAACACTCTCACTTCTGGACCTTGGGTACTCTATTACCAGCTTTCCTGTCCCCTCCTGCCTTCTAGTCCTTGTCCCTCGGCTGATGTGACCCTTTAGTCTCGTTTTGTTTTATGGGGTTGTCTAATCTTTGCCTGAACGATGAACCTTGGGAGTGACTTCATTACTGAGCTGAAAGGGTGTCTGGGAGCCATACTCTTGTGGTTTCCCCAGTCTCTGTCAGGCCAGTAAGTTTGGTCTTTTTTTGTGAGTTAGAATTTTGTTCTACATTTTTCTCTAGCTCTGTCTGGAACCCTCTGCTGTGATCCCTGGCAGAGCAGTCAGTGGTGGTAGCTGGGTACCATCTAGTTGTACTGGACTCAGTCTGGTGGAGGCCGTGGTAGATGTGGTCCATTAGTCCTTTAGACTAATCTTTCCCTTGTATCTTGTTTTCTTCATTCTTCCTTGCTCCTGAAGGGAAGAGACCAGTGGAGTATCTTAGATAGCTGCTCACGGGTTTTTGAGACCCCAGACACTACTCACCAAGGTAGAATGTAGAACATTTTCTTTATAAACTATTTTATGCCGATTGAGCTAGATGTTCCCCAAGACCATGGTCCCCACAGCCCTCTGCCCAGCAGTTCAGTCCCTCAGGGAGTCAGGATGTGTCTATGGAGCTTCTGTGACTTTTCCTTGTACGAGTTATGCTGGCTTCCCCA